CCCACTAACTCACCCATTCTAATCCCCATCACCCCACCACTCCATATTCTCATCACCACACCCCTCCTAATCCCCATTTTTTTCTCCTTTGCTTCCCACACTTCAGATAACCTTGGAAATGGTGTCTCTTCCTGCTCCATTTGACTGCTTCCTAATGTGCATTGCTCTACAGAGAAGCCTCCAAAGCTGGGCTTTCAGAGAAAATCCTGGAAGCTAGGGCAATGGCAATTACCTAAATTTTGAAGGAATTAAGAGAAGACTCTAAAGCAGAGTTAACCTCCAATTTAGTGGTTCCTCATTCGTGCAAACAATATTTTCTGGATGCTCGTTATGTGCGCACTCACATTATCACAGTCATTAGACACAAGAGAGTGCTGGCATCTTGTGTCCCTGCATGTGTGCAATCCAAGCGCTCAGCGGGAGGCGGCGGATCTCTATGACTGGCTCTAGAGAACCATCAAGGCCAACCCAGGCTGTATAATGAGACCCTGTCTCAAAAACAAAACCAAAAATGGACAGACAATAACAAAGATTCAAAAGGGACCACAGGGTGGATTCGGCTTTCAGGTCATAGTTTCATCTGCGCCTTCTGAATGATTTCCCAAAGTCAGTGATGCTTGAGGATTTGAGAAAAGAAGGAAGAGGAGCAAACGTGGGAAGGGGCAGCCATGGTTGCCGTCCCTACCCTGCTGTCGGCTGGATATGTTGTGTGTGTCCACTCTCTGCTCTCAGGAGTGAAGGAGATCTGTAATACTCTACTGTTGCTAGCGTCATGGGCAGGAGTTGCTGCTACCCTGTACACCAATGCATAGAGCACAGCGGTCCTTTGTCGCTGGTAGAGCAACAAACCTTCTGACGTTACATCTAACCTGGACAGGCCATTAGAGTCCCAGGGAGCTTGAAATCCGCCAAGGCCTAGCCTCAGACCCTGGGGAAGAAGCTGCCAGCTGACTATAAGACCAGACACGGGGCCAGGCCACCTGACTCTACTGATTTCTACAGCAATCAAGTCAGGTCTGGCCTGAGCCCCGGAAGCACCAGACTTGGAAGTGGGGAACCGCAGGCCTGCTGCGGGAAAAGGACAAGCTCTTTGCTTGAGAGGTCAACAGGGACATAAATCCCCAAGTGGGTCCCATCTCTTTCATTGCAGGGACTCTTTATGCCCTCCTTCTCTGAGGCCCCATGACTAGGGAATGTATTGGACCTGAACATCTTTCTTCCCTTTTGTGGTCACTTATTTTTCACGTCCGGGTTAGACGTCTGTCCCCCAAGCTCCTTTGTGCTCTGACCATCAAGTTTACCACCTGTATTTTCATTCACTTATTCATTCATTAACAACTTTGTTTTGAGACCCGATCTCACATGACCCAGGCTGGCCTTAAGCTAGCTATGCAGCTGAAGATGACTTTGAATTTCTGATCCTGCTGCCTCCGCTTCTGGAGTGCTGGAATTACAGGTGTACACACCCACCCCTAGTCATCGGGGCTTGGAGCAAACCCAGAGCCTTACGCCTGCTAGACAAACACTCGACCAACTGACTTACATCCCCAGCACTAAATTGTCATCCAAGTTCTTTCTCTGTGCCAAGTGATAGGTCAGGCACAGCACTGACCAGCACAGTACAGAAGTAAACAAGCCAAACAAAATCCCTGCCATCAAGGAGTACATTCTAGTGAGCAGAGGTATACAGTAAACAAAACCCATCAATTATAATCCATACATATTCCAAGTGGATAAGTGCAAAGGGGAACTCCAAGAAAGAGGGTAAGAACCATCAGGGAGAGTGTTTGCAAAACTTCCAGGAGAAGGTAGTGTTTTAAAGGCTTGCAGTGGTTCTCAACCTTCCTAATGCCGTGACCCTTTAACACGGTTCCTCATGCTATGGTGATCCCCAACCACAAAGTTATTTTTGTTGCTACTTCATAACTGTAATTTTGTTATGGTATGATTCATAATGTAAATATTTGATATGAGAACCCTGTGAAAGGGTCATTCAACCCCCAAAGGGGTCTCAACCCAAGGGTTGCAAACTATTAACTTAGCGGCTAGGCATACACAAGCCCTCTGAGTGTCGGGTGGAGGGGCGGGGTGAGGGGGGAACTTCCCAAGTGAATGTGATGGCAATTGCTAAGGCTCGGAAGTGGATACCCAGTATGCTGAAGAAACTGCGGGGAGGGAAACCAGTGTAAAAGCAAAATACAACTAGGGTGTGGCCTATTTGGGGTGTTGCAAGGGTTGCAGAACACCCCAAGCCCTATAGCTGGTGAGTAATGGAGGATCTTTAGCAGAGGAGGTCTTTCTCTTCGTCTGTTTGAAGCTGTTGAAACAATGCTACAGACTGAGTAGTTTATAAACAAGAGAAGCTCATGCGCATGGTGGATCTAGACTGGAAAGTCCAAGATAAAGGGCTGCATCCCACAACAGCTGCTGGGGTCATAACTCAGAAGATATTGCATGGCAGTCCAGAGAGAGATGGTGACCTGGAAGCTAAACACAGTCCTACAGTCAGGGAGAGTCACTCTAAAGCACAGAGCTTTTATTACCTAACCACTTCTTAAAGGTCCCACCTCTTGATCTCAAAATGACAATCAAATGTCTTTTAAGGTTTAACTTTAGTTTAAGGGTATGGGTGTTTTGCCTGCATATAGGTCTGGGTGTCGGGTGTAGAGTGTCCACGGAGATCAGAAGAGGTTATTGGATCCCCAGGAACTAGAGTTATGGATGGTTGTGAGCCAGCATGCAAGCTCTAGGAATTGAACCTTGGTCTTCTAGAAGAGCAGCCAGTGCGCTTAACCATTGAACCATGACCACAGCCCAGACAGTTCCATTCCAGCATGAGTTCTGGATGGGTTATTTCAATCGTAGAAGCACAGGGCATCTCTGTTATTGTTGTTAGATTAAAATATCACATGAGTCACAATGTTCCAAAATTTTTCTGAGAAATGGACAATTAGCTGGGCTGAAGTTCTGACGCCCATGTATCTAGCCAAGTGTCTAAGCTTTCCTTAGTACTGAGCCAGACCCCCGGGCAGGGTGCCGAAAGCAGCTGAGAACACTGAGGTGTGGGTCTTCGCTGTCAAAGAAGGAACTGAGGATCAGGGAGGACAGATCGCCAGCAGCTTGTCTGTCTGAGAAGAGAGTGGGGGTGCGCCCCTCACCTTGTACTTCCTATTAATACATGAATAGGGCATATGCTAAGGTGACCATGGTTGAACTCAATCATAGAAGTCAAGCATTTGATGCAACCCTTCAGAACGCTTTGCTTCTCAGGGAAATATTGGATTCTTTTTTAAAGAAACTAAAAGAGAAATCCCATTATCAGTAATTTGTAATACTAAAAAAATGAAGTAATTTTTATTAAAAAGTCAAACTCCAGTAAATTCATCTTTCCTTAATAGAACTATCTTGTGTTTATACTATGCAGACACTTGTAACTTTAATAACATTGAGAAACTATTTTGGAAAGTATTCTTTTTAGTATTTTTTTTTTGCCTTTACTGATTGAGCAGGGGTGGGAGTCATGCCACAGTGAATGTGAAGTAGAGGACAACTTGTCAGAATAGGCTCTCTCCTTCCGCCATGAGGGACCCCGGGATCATACCCAGGCAGCCAAGCGCCTTTACCCACTGAGCCATCTTTCAGCCCTTCTCTAGGTTTTTGTTAACATATAGTAGCTATGCATAGCAATGGGTTCCATTATGACATCTTCATACACGTACATAATGGTTTGGATCACATTCAGTCCATCACCCTGTCTTGTCCCCTTTCCACTCCCACTGATCCCCCTCTTCCCAGCTCTTCCCTGTAGCCCTCACTTACAGTCCCCCTTCTGCTTTCATGTGTGTGGGAAGAAACCCACAGAAACCCAGCGTGTTTCATTAACCAGGGTTGCTTACAGCAGCACAGATGAGGAATTATTTATAGGAGCCTGAGCATTTTACCAGCAGTTATGCCACTGAAAAACATGCCTCTGCTTCCCCCAGCTACCATCAACTGCCTGGAGATGTTCAAGGGAACCCTCCCCTCTCCATGATGGAGTGAGTGTTGGTAGGCCCAGTCTTATACGGGTCTTGTGTAAACAATCCCAGATGAATAGTAGGAAATCGTTAAGAAAGGTTTCTGTTTTGGGCGGTGGTGGCGCACACCTTTAATCCCAGCACTTGCCAGCAGCCAACAGAGGCAGATGGATCTCTGTGAGTTCGAGGCCAGCCTAGACTACAAGAGCTAGGCACCAAAGTTACAGAGAAAGCTTGTCTGGGCGGGGGGGGCGGCCCGGGCGTCTCTGTTTTGTCATTTAATAACAAAAAAAAAAAGATTTAGAGACGAAAACAGAAATTAATTGTGTCTGCTACCGAAAAACCATCTCAGCAGATTCCAAAAGCCAAATTCCTGGTAAAACAGTTCTGCTGTCACAGAGGTCCCCAGAGGTCACAAAAGTGGGTCACTGACTACAGCCAGAGCTTTTTTTCAAAGGTATTTCTTTTCTATTTTAATGTATGGCAATCTTTCCCATAGTTTTAGAAGTTGGGTGTTTAAGTCAAGCCAATACTCTGTTCTTCTGAAGAATGCATCAGATACATTTGTTTAAAGTCGGCCTTCCAAGCAATTTCCAAGCACAATAAAGAGCGTTTGATTCCATCATTGCTCTGCCTCTTCACTACTCCCCACTAAGCATCTTAAGGCGAGAGAGGAGCCTGCAGAAAGGTTGTTTTGTTTTGTTTTGAGCCTGAGAAACTGGGACTTCCCTGCCTTCCAGAGCACAACAGTCTATTCTTTGAGGCAAGGGGCCAGGGAGGAGGAGTAATTCAATTTTGTAGGCCACCGTGTACTTCCTTCTCCCTTTCTCCTGCCAAATCGAGGCTCACACCAATCCCAGCGGACCTTAAGGGCCAGTCCTCCATGGAAAAGTGAAAGCAGTCGAGGAAAAAGAAAGGGGCCAGCCAGAAGCAGCGTCCTTCAGAGCCTGGGGAACACTCATTATAATTGAATGAAGCCCATGACAAGGGCCTTTTCTGAGCAGCCTTGGTGGGGCCACTGCTGGGCCCCATTGTAAATTCCATCTGTGTGCTATCACGTCCTGACCCAGAAACAAGGAGAGGTTTTGGCCACACGTTTCCCTAGGAGATGTGCCAGACCACACGAGGCTCACAAGCTCCCAGAGATTTCGTATATAAAGCTTTAAGATCATGTTGGCCCGCGATGAATTCCTTTCATGAATTTATTTACTAAAGGGTCTTTTTCTCATCTCCCCAGTTTCCTTTCAGAAACTGAAGCCCAAGTGAAACAGAGCTCTGTTGGAATCGTTGTGAGGAAGATTCTGGGGAGAAAGAGGAAGCAACTAGCTTCCCAGCAGAGGCTTATAATGAGCAGATGCCCCAGGCCGGAGCCAGTCAAACATCTAATGGGAACTTGACTGCTGAGAGTCTGGAAGACTGGGGAGTGGAAATTAAAAAAGCAAAATGGAGTGAAATGCTGGTTCGTTCTCACACTCTGCCATGTTTGGGGACGATCTATAGACTGTAATTATAACTGCTATGATTCTACACGAGATTGGACCTTGGCAGCAAAGGGGCCACGCAATGGGTGAGAGACAGAATTGTTCTTGGAATGTGTTGTGTTCCTCCCAGGAGCAGCAGGCCAGAGTGAGCTTACCTCAGATCACTCATTACAACTCTCGATTGTTATTTATGTACCTCTATGGAAAACACATTTTGTCCCGTGTGACTTGCCCTTGCGCTTGCACACTGTGCTCACGTGCCGCCTCAACCCTCAGAGTACAAACGGGCTGCTGCTCTGAATAAAGCTGGCTATATCACTAAAGTCCGCCTTGCTTATCAGCTGCGTTCTCCCAGGTCCCACCACCTTTCGAGAGGTAAAAACTAGGCCTCTCTAGGAATCCCAGATCGGCTGGCCTTGTCCTTTGTGGTCCAGAACACTCTGACAGAAAACCAAACACGGGTTCTGTTCTCTGTCACTTCCTACGTCTCTACCATCAGCATACATTTCCACGTACCCTCCTCCCCACCTTTACCCTTTTCCTGCCCAAACAGTGGAGTCTTTGCAGATCTGAGAGAATCTCTCGCTCTTTGATTTTATTGGTTCTTTCGAGACACGGTTTCTCTGTATAGCCCAGGCTGTCCTGAACTCAAAATCTCCTGCTGCCTCTGCCTACAAAATTCTGGGATTAAAATGTGTGCCACCACCATTACCTGGCTTCCTCCCAGCCCCTCAATACCCTTGTTCTGACCATATTGTCCATGTCCATATCTTTATTACATGTTAGTGTGGTGTGTGTGTGTGTGTGTGTGTGTGTGCGCGCGCGCGCGCATGTGTGTATAGAGATCAGAGTATAACCTTCAGGAGTCGATTCTTTCCATTATGAGGGTCTTGGGGATCAGACTTGGATTTTCAGGCTTGGTAGCCTGCACCCTTACCCACTGAGCCATCTCACCAGCCCAGTTTGTTTGGGACAGGTTCTCACACTGTAACTCAGGTTGACTCCAAACCCATAACAATCCCCCCACCTCATTCAGTCTCAAGTGCTGGAATAACAGGCGCGGTTTGCCATACCTAGCTTCCATGTCCATCCATGTCTTGATGTTCCTCTGAAGGCTTCAAGTTTTTGAAAACCAAAGCTAGAAAAATAAAAACAAAAACAGAAACAAAAAAAATCCACGTTTTGTTTTATTTTGTTTCTTTTCTGACATTTTTTCCCCAGTCAATAAGCACAGAATGGTGTGCCTGTTCAAATGTGAAACACAGCATAACAGAGAATGCTTGGAAGTAGGTAAAATATATTTATTAAAGGCACACAAATTATCATTTGAGAACCACTATTGCCAATTTGGCAATTGGGCATGGCAGTAACCCTGCAGGCTCTGCCCTGCCCTCTGTACCAGAAGCAGAGACAAGTGTACCAGGCTTTTTCATTTGGGTCACTAACCAGCTCCCAAATCATGACACAGAGACTTATGAGTTATGAATGCTCGGCCTAGCTTAGGCTCATTTCTGACTACCTCTTTAAACTTATATTAACTGGTTTCCTTTATCTACCTTTTGCCTTGGGGTTCTTTTCTTTCCTTTTGAATATCTTACTTTCACCGTTTCTTGTGTCTGGCTGGCAGTTGCCTGGCTTTTTATCTCAAGCATGTGCCTCTCTTTTCTCCCCCATTCCCTTTTTCTTCCCCTCTTCTTCATTTCTCCTAAGCCTAGATTTCTCCTATTTATTCTCTTTGCCTGCCAGCCTCACCTATCCCTCTACTGCCTAGCTACTGGCCCTTCAGGTTTTTATTAAACCAATCAGGTGCCTTAGGCAGGCAAGGTGAAACAAATGCAACACACACACACACACACACACACACATATATATATATATATAATTAAGCATATATCTTTATATTGTTAAAATGCAGCATAAACAAATGTATCACATCTTTACAGTTAAAGTCACATTCTACAGCATAAAAAATACAACACACCTTTACACAGTTAAGTAATATTTTACAGCATAAACAAATGTAACACATCTTTACACAAAGTAATATTCCACAACAGAAACAAATGTAACACACATTTACACAGTTAAAGTAATATTCCACAGCAGAAACAAATATAATACACTTTTGCCTAGTTAAAATAATATTCCACAACAAAGAAGGGATGGGTCTTATTGGTTTCTTTTGATTTCTCACTAATGTGTGCATATGTGTGGGAAGGGATAGACTGTAAATAGATTTTACCACGAGATTAATAATAGCTAAATATAGATGGCAAGATATTAAGTAATTTGAATTTTTTCTTGGTTTGCTTTTCTATATTTTATCATCTTCTAAAAGAAATGTGGATTGCTTATAAAATAAACAAACATATAGGGAAGCTTATATTTTATGTGTATAGGTGTTTTTTTCTGCATGTATGTTTATGCACCACATGTATAGTGTTGGAAAAGGCCAAAAGACAGCATTGGATCCCCTAGAACCTGAGTTACAGATAGTTGTGGGCCTCTGTTTGAGTGCTGGGAGTCGAACCCAGGTCCTCTGAAAGAGCAGTCAGTGCTCTTGACCACTGAGCCATTTCCCCAGCCTCACACAGTGAAGACTTTTAAAATAGGGAACTTGAGCTAGAGATGTACCTCAGTGAGTGACAGAGGACATGGCTAGTGTACATGAGGTCCTGAGTTCAATCACCAGTATCTCAAAAAATAAAATAAGAAACTTGTAAGTAAAATTAGACTAGGTGTGGTAGGTCATGCCTATAATCTCAGAAATGGAGAGGCTGAGGCAGGTAGATTCCCATGACTTCAAGACCAGCATGGGCTACAGTGTAAATTCTAAGTCAGCCTGAGCTACACAGCAAGAAAATTCATTACCCAACAAATAATCCAATAAAAAAAATGGAGTACAGACCTAAACAGAGGAATCTAAAATGGCTGAAAGACACTTAAAGAAATGTTCAACATCCTTAGTCATCAGAGAAATGCAAATCAAAACAACTCTGAGATTCCATCTTACACCTGTAAGAACAGCCAAGATCAAAAACACTGATGACAACTTATGCTGGAGAGGTTGTGGGGTAAAGGGAACACTCCTGCATTGCTGGTGGGAACGCAAGCTGGTACAGCCCTTTTATATATCTGTATGGTGATTTCTCAGAAAATTAGGAAACAACCTTCCTCAAGACCTAGCAATACCACTTTTGGGTATATATACAAAGGATGCTCAATTGTGCCACAAGGACATGTGCTCAACTATGTTCATAGCAGCATTGTTTGTCATAGCCAGAACCTGGAAACAACCTAAATGCCCCTCAACTAAAGAACGATTAAGGAAAATGTGGTACATTTACACAATGGAGTACTACACAGCAGAAAAAAAACCCCACGACATCTTGAAATTTACAGGCAAATGGATGGAGCTAGAAAACATCATATTGAGTGAGATAACCCAGACCCAGAAAGACAATTATCACATGTATTCACTTATAAGTGGTTTTTAAACATAAAACAAAGAAAACCAGCCCACAAATCACAATCCCAGAGAACCTAGACAACAATGAGGACCCTAAGAGAGACTTACATAGATCTAATCTACATGGGTAGTAGAAAAAGATAAGCTCTCCTAAGTAAATGGGAAGCATGGGGACCTTGGGAGAGGGCTGAAGGTGGGGGGGAGAGGAAGGGAGGGGAGTAGAGAAAAATGTAGAGCTCAATAAAAATTAATAAAAAAAGAAAATTCATTATTCATCTGAATGCCTACTGTGCGTCGGATACTGTGAAAAGCATTTTCCACACATGATGGGTTTAATTTAATCTTCGCAGTATGAGAAATGCTATTACTGAGCCCATTTTAAAGATGAGGAAATGAGGCTTGAGATCATATGGATTGACTTAGGAATACAACTGTGCAGATGTACACAAATACACCTGGCTGCCATCAGATGTTAACTGTGGAGCCACTTTAAGGGTAACTGACAAAGGTGGCAGTTATTTAAGACTCAAAACTCAGGATGGTCACTTTCCTCAGCCCCATATTCCCTAACAACAATTCTCTCTTAGGTACCTGGCTATGTGGTAGATTGAACAAACTGACCACAATCCTTTCAGACATCTCCTCCTCATCATTTTTTCTTACAATCTTGTTTATTGTTTTTATTTTATGTATATCAATGCTTCCCTAAATGTATGTATGTGTACCATGTATGTGCCTGGTATCTACAGAGGCCAGAAAAGGGAGTCAGGTCCCTTGGCTCTGGAGTTCCAGGTGGTTTGAGCCATCTCTCCAGCTCCCAGGGCTCCTTCTTTCAAGAAGCAGATTTCTCATTCCTCAAATCTGAGTTGGCCTTAAGAGTTGCTTTGACAGACAGGTTATGGGAGGGGTGACAATATACCAGCACCAGGGAACCTGTCAAGTTAGAATTCTATCTTGGAAACCCAAGACCACCACCATGTGGCACAGCCCCAAAGAAAGGACTGCACAGAGGCAGAAGCTCAGCTATCCTTTGTAGCCAGAATGAACCCAGCCCCTTTACCGACCTTCCAAGTGAATGCAGCCATGGGTCCAGGCAAAATCAGCAGAAAACTCTATCCAGAGGACCCACAAAAGAATGGAAAGTTCTGTAATCATGCACCACCTGATGACGTCTCAACTAGCAACAGCCCGCAGATGATGACAGTCTCACGAGACTGCACTACCCAGGGAAATAGCTTGTGTAGTTCTATTACTGGATGATGTCCACACAATGACGTGGCTTCTCAGACTGTATCTGCAGGACTTAATGACTAGTGATTGTTGACTGGGGCCAGTTGATGGGGAATGGATCTATTATGCAGCATTAACTAGCTAGGACAACTAGGATTTATGAGTGAGCAAGCTGTCAAGTCACTGGAATGCCTGTGGTTGCCATGGTTATTAAAGTTGCATGGTGTGGTACAAGGCCTTGCAGTGCTCCTCGTGCACAGATCTAGACCAAATTCCATGCCCAGAGAATGAACAGAACCTCACACTCCCTTCCAAATACTCTCTCTAAACAGAGCCATCTGCAACTAAACAGATTCTGGTGAAAAAGAGGAGAGGGCGAGAAACAAATTGTGTCAAAAGAACTCTTCCTGCTTGGAAGCAAACTGTTTGCATAGAGAAGCCCATGATTAAACCTTTTTTTCCTTTATTTTTACATCACATTGGGTTCCTGCCCCTCAAGATTTACTGGTTTTTATATGTAACTGTAACAGATCAAGTTTCAGTTACAACAGAAGGCAAGGGTCATTTACCTACAATTAAATGTCTCTTTAACAACAAACTCCAAGCAAGAGGAACTTGCTGCAAGAAGCATGTGACAAACTGTTACAGGAGCTGTCATTCTTATCACATATGCAAGACTCTAAACCAAGAAATCCTATTCTCCCTAAACAGAATTCAGAACCCACCACTCATTCTAGAAGATGCTTCTTTCATGTCGGTAGTTTCCTCTCAAAATCAAGAATCACAGCAGTAAGAAAGAACACTCTTTCTTACTGGTGTGTGTGTGTGTGTGTGTGTGTGTGTGTGTGTGTGTGTGTGATCTACGGTCAGTTTATAAAACACCAGCGCATGTGCTCCTGTCAGTCATCATAGCCCTAAAAATAAAACCATCAGTAACTGAAACAAAAACAACAACTTTCCCGCTTTTATAAAGAAGGAACCCAAACGATGATAAAGCCACCAATGGAGTGTAGTGGCGGTGGCTCTGGATGAGGATCCCTGAGGCTGTCACTAGGCTCCTCACAGCAGTCTCTCCTGTCTCCAACCCAACAGCCACTGGGCCTTTCCTTCTAGACCTCCTTCCTATGCTGGTTTCATTCACCTGGTGCCTCTGGTTGGTGCTCTTCTTGACTCTCAGTCCCCTCCATTCTGCCTTGCCTGCCACCCCAAGAGCAAAGCTGCCCCCCACAGGGCACCCCGCATCCCTCTGGTGGTGTACAAAGGAAGACTCTCTCAGGCAGGGTCAAGTTACGCAGCAATTTCTCACGGCTTCCTTTTTTCAAAACCCTCTCTGTGTCTCTGTGTCTCTGCCTCTCTTTCGCACCCTGCAACACATATATTTTGATCAAAGAATGACGGTAGATTTGGTCAGCAGTCAGAGAAGTGCAGTAGATTTGAAT